CATGAGTGTTACTCGAAGTGAGACGAGCACCTCTGCGCTGTGGAGGAACTCGCTCACATTTTGGGATGTGCGTGGAAAATGGACCGTGGGGGCTCAACTCTGAGACTAGGGGTCCCTGCTACGTCAGCCACCCAACCAGTCCAAAGGACCTCTGGCAACTACCGGAACGAGGGAAATAGGGAGGAGAGGACCTCCTCCCAGCTCCACCACCAACTCAGCAATAGCCCTGAAGCCCCCACCTTCCTCCCTGCGTGAGCCACTGAGGGCAGCCCCCGGTTCCACTTTGAATTGCCCGTACATATTTTATGCATCCTTCTGGCCGCCTTTAAAGGGGCCCTGCACTCTGCCAGGCCTTGTGATGGACATGGCGACATGGCAAAGAACAAGACAAGGTCACTCCCTCCAAGGAGCTCACACTCTCACAGGGCACCAGCCATGTCAACAGATGGTTCCACCGCAGCAGGACCCTTGTTGGGACAAGGGCGAGCACAGGGGCTCCGGGGCTCTGCACCCAGCCCGGGGGCTCAGGGAAGCATCTGCACGGGGGCCGCTGACTCCCTGCGAAGCTGGAATCACAGACTCACCCCATGCCTGAGCTGGAGGAAGCTGCAGAGTACCAGCTGCATACCCTTTACCCCACCCACATTACAGGTGGGGAAACTGAGGCTCAGGGAGAGAACGGGTGGGCTCACAGTCATGTGGAAAGTTCATAGCCTAGGTTCTTCCTACTCAAAGTCAGCCTCTAGTAAGGAACAGGGGGCCCTAGACTGAAGGCTCCTTGATGACTGGGACGAGGCATGTCACTCACCACAGCAGCCGCCTCCCCTGGTGCTTGTGCTTGGAAATTTATGTTGAATGAATAAGTGAGTGAGGGGAGACACACCCAATCAGGGGAGCCAAAGGCCCTCCTCCCTCATGGGGCAGACCTTGCTGCTGGGAATCACTGGAGGACGCCTCCTCTACCTGCATCTAACCTGCCAGGGTCCCACTGACAGCAAACAGGAGCACCGCTTCTTCTTCCCTCAGGTCCTTTCTGGAAGCCTCTGGAGCCAGTACCTGATGGCAGCTCCTCACCCGAGCCCACGACAGCACCACCGCCCCACACACCCACAGTAAGGAGGTCAGGTGGTGATTATTAATACTGGTTTAATGATCACATAATCTTTGAGCAAAAGATTCTCCCATTTCAATTTCCCTGTTTGTAGAAGAGGAAACAGGATCAGAAAGGCTAACTCAGATCCACGGTCTCCCACTCGAAAGTGGTGGAGCCAAGATTCAAATCCCATTGGATTCCCGAGTTGACAAGCTCAGTCCTCCAAATACCATCTCCCTGGCTAGCAGGGCCCCTGTGCTGGCCTGCCCAGGGTTATTCTGGGCGACGTCAGTCTGGAGGCTGGCCGACGGCAAAATGGGGTTTTTTCAATCATTTTTTTTCTCAGAGAAATCTTTTTTCAAATAAAATCAGGCAGGAATATCCAATCATAAGGTTTCATAAACTTTAAAAGCAGAGTTGCCCCAGAAACTCCCCGATGCTGGAGTCTCCCTGCGTGTGGGCTCAGCTGGCCCCTCCTTCTGAGGAGTTGGTGCCTCCCCCTCTGGTCACATCCCAGGCTTAGGAACATCCACCTTGAGGGCAGGTGGAGGGGGCCTTCTCCTCCCCACTTGGCAGATAAAGAAATTAAGCCCAGACATGGAGGCTCTTCCCCAGCTCTGCAGGATGCTCAGCGGCAGAGCTGCGGCTGGAACTCAGTGTCCTGCTTCTCATTCCAGTGGTGTTCTTTGACTGGCAACTGCCTGCAGGACAGAGTGTCCAGCACCAAGGGCAAGAAGAGGGGGGGCTGATATTATCCCAGGTGGGCAGGATGTCCCTGCCCCACAACCTCCCACCTGCCAGATATTCAACTACCTAAGTCTCCAGCCCTCTGGCCAGCTGTGCTCTCCCTCCAGAACCCAAAGCAAGGCTGAGAAAGTCCCTTATTCCTGGAGCAGCCCACTCTCTGAGCCCCTCAAGCTTTTCGGTACTGGGAAAGCTTTAGGGGGCCACAGGGAGACCCTCTTGCAGAATACCAAGGTGCGGAAGCCCCACTGACATCTAAGCAGATTTCACTGAAGGACCACCCACTGCTGTGCAGCAGGCCAAGAGCCCCTGAGCAGGGCACCCAGACCCTCGTGCCCACCCACAGAGCCGGCACCTCAGGATTCTGGCCTTTACAGAGGCAAATCTGAGTTTCTGAGTGTCCGTGTGATTCCAGATTCCAGGTGTTTACAGGGATGTATCCGTGGTGTTTGCTGAGACTCTGAGACTGCATGTTATCAAATCACACGATTCTGACAAAGTGTGTGGTACATCTCAGACTGCATCATTCTCAGTGGGAGCAGGTTCCTCAACAGAACTGTCCTGGGCGCCCTGGCCGCCCTCCCCCTGAGACAAGGCGGGCCCCTAATGCAGGGCAGCCTCACCCTCCTGCCCCGGCTTGGCCACATAAATCACCCTCCCAATAATATTTGTATTGATGATCTAGATTGGAAGCCTCAGTTGGCTCCATTGTCTCACTTCCTCTCCCCGGGCTCACAGCTGGGGTCCCTTGGCCTCATCTGTGTCTCTAATGTGGCATTTAAATGGAGCAGCAGCAGCAAGGCCCTGCACTGCCCTGGGTGTCAGGGGGTGGGAGGAGAACAGAAACATATTCCTTGAGAGAGGATCATAAAATCTTAGAAAGTGTGGTGCTGGCAGAGAAGCCAAGAAGGCCTAGTCCCTAGGTCCTGGAAGTGCCGCCCACTGGCCCCACCCAGGCGCTTGTCAGATGCAGCAACTCGGGCCCTGCCCCCGAGACCCACTGAACCAACACGGGCATTTGGACAGGATCCCTTTGTGGTCACACGCATGTTACACTTAAGAAGCATGGCGGGGCGCAGCGGATCATGCCTGTAATCCCAGCACTTTGGGAGGTCAAGGCGGGTGGGTCACCTGAGGTCAAGAGTTCGAGACCACCCTGGCCAACACAGCGAAACCCCGTCTCTATTAAAACTACAAAAATTAGCTGGGCGTGGTGGCGGATGCCTGTAGTCCCAGCTTCTCGGGAGGCTGAGGCAGGAGAATCGCTTGAACCCGGGAGGCAGAAGTTGCAGTGCGCTGAGATCGTGCCACTACACTCTCCAGCCTGGGCAACACAGCAAGAGTCTGTCTCAAAAAAAAAAAAAAGAGAGAAGAAGAAGAAGCACTGCTTTAGCCCAACCATTGCATCATGCAGAAGAGAAACCAAGGCCCAGAGAAGGCAAAGGGCTTGTCTGAAGTCACACAGCAGGAAAGATTCTCTGAGCTCCCAGTTCAGGCAGAGGGAATGAGAGGGCGAGTTGCTTCTGGGGTGAGGGGCCGGCCATTTCCGGGCTCCCCTCCCTCTCGAGCTCCCGCCTCCTGTCTCAGGGTGTGGACAGATGGTTCAGACCAGAGTCTGACCCCCCTGTACTCTCCCAGCCTGGAGGGGCCAATGAGAGCTCTGGGGACTCCCCAGAAGGGCACCTCCTCCCGCCACGGCCAGCCAGCTGCCCCTTCTGGCAGCAACTGGACAGCAGATCCCAGGGAAAACCACCACCTGGGTCAGCCCAGCACAGCCAGGCGTCTGTGGAGGGGGGCACGAGGGATGGGAGGCCCCATAGAGGCGGCCAGCAGAGGGCCTGGGAGAGGTGGGGAGGAGGGAAGCTGTGGTCCGAAGAAGGGAGGCAGAGCTGGTGGGGAGGGGGACAGAGAGGTGGACAGAAACAAAACAGGGAACGGGGAAGAGCCGGGAAAGGAAGAAGGGGAAAGAGAGTGGAAAGGGAGCAGAGGCGGTGAAGAGTGATGTCGGGGAGAAGGGAGGCAGCTGGTCCGGAGGTGCACAAGCCCAGTGTGGCCCAGCCCTACCCAGCCTGGCCTGGCCTGGCCCAGCCCCCAGTGACGGTGCAGCTGCCACACTTGGGCCCTACTATGAGGTCAGTCCTGCCCCGGGGCTGAGGGAAAATAAATGGTGTCCAAGATAAAAGGTCCAAGAAATTATTTGTCTTGTTGTCATGTCCTGACTGCAACGGGCAGGGCTGGCAGGCAGGCGGGGCATCACCCCCAAAACACTCAGGCTGGCAGGTTTGGCCCCACACACAGGACCACAGCCCCAGATCCCCAGAACCTGGGCCTGAGAAGGCAGGAATGGGTGGGGGCAGGTGCTTTCCCAGTGAGTGGCAAGGACCAGGAGGCCTCGCAGCAGTCTCCGCTTTTCCTGCCTGGCAATTTTAAATAAATAATCTGTGTGGTATTTGCTCAGTGTCTGTCTAGGCCAGATGCCCTCCAAGCTCTGGGAAGGCGGAGCGCTGCCTGTTTCGCTCACTGCTGAGCACCTCTGTGGACCAGGGCCTTGAGATGTCTCACTCCTCCCAGCCATTGCAGAGGCAGCACAGGCAGGGGAGTGGGGAGAGCTCCCAAGTACTCCAGGAGGGTTGGGCAGTTCCAGGGTCAAGGGCAGGTCAACAGGACCATGGCCCAAGGTGTTACGCATGCCACGTATCACAGGTGCACAGGCTCAAGCTCAAAGCGCCCATATGCACACGTGCACATAACACACACACTAGGCTGATTTCCACCACCAGCAGCTTCCACAAAGCATCACCTAGAGGCTCCTGCCCCTTGAAGTGGCCGAACCTGGGGCTGGTGAGTGGTGGCATGGGAGCAGCCACCTGCTTTAGGCCATCCCAGGCAAGCCACTGATACCACAGCAAATGCCACTTAGGGGGCATTTACCAGCCAAAGATCTTCTCATTCACATCTTCAGTAAGTACGCCTGACAATGCTCTCAAGGATTCACTATTGCATCCCCATTTTCCATTTTACAGATCAGGAAACAGACCCAGAAAGGATCAGTGCCAGGTCCAAGATCACAGAGCCAGGACCAGCAGAGCTGGCATTTGAACTTGAGGTCTCTGAGGCCAGGAAGGACATGTATACGGGGTAGGAGAAGAGGGTTGGCACATACCATACTTGTCCCCATCCTCGCCGCGGGCACTGATCCTACGGCCCAGGACCTGGATGTGTTTCCCACTGGTCCGGCTGTAGAGCTGGTACAGCCGCAGCTGCTTACGGCTCACATCGTCCCGAGCCCGCGTCTGGTTCTCCACGTGGATGCGGAAGTCCACGTTCTCCTCGGCAACCAGCACCTGGGCAGGGAAAGGGACATAATGAGCCACCCCAGATGTCCCAGACCCACTGCATGCAGGAGCCAGCCACGCTCACCACAAAGACCAAGGGCATGTCTACACCGGCTCTGAGCCAGGCCGTGGCACACACTGATAACCACCCCCTCACTACCCCCATTCAAAGACAAGGCAATGGGGGCTCTGAGAGGTGAGGCAAGTTGCCCAAGGTGGTCCAGCCAGAAAGTGGCAAAGCTAAGAATCAGGCCTAGGTCTATGTGACAACAAAGCTTCTCTTTCCACCACAGCCCCCAGTTAAAGCAAGAACAATTCTCGGTAAAGTGGTGGGGCAGAGCCCCTACCCTGATTCCATCCCGGGGTAGCTGTGAGGACTAAGTGAGCAAATGGGAAGAAAAGTACTCAAATCCACATGGAGACGGGTGAGGAACGAGAGGGGACGGAACGCTGCATCCATGGGGAAAGAGGAAGGCCTGGAGAGCCTCATCCGGGGAACCAACAGGCCAAGTCCTCTGTGACTTCGCCCCCTGCAGCTGATGCTGGGGTCTCCTCCCCACACCCTAAGGGTCCTCATGCTCGCTCCCACACCATTTGCCCACATCCTTAACTCCTCTGGTGAAGCCTTTGTTTTGCGTCTGCCACCAAAATTCCAGCTCCCTTGAGGCTTAGCTTGTGCCTGTCCACATCCTTCAGGAAGCCTTCTCTGGTTACACCAACACACAGCGCGCTCATCTTCCTTCCCCTCTCATTGGGACGACTTGCACCTGCCTCCTCACTGGCCTTCTGCTTTCACTCTCGCCTTCTGGTAGTCTCTCTTTACCAAACCCAATCCCCTCTTCATACTCTCCGGGGCCTCCCATCACACTGTGGTGAAGGACTCCTCCAAGGCCTCAAGGCCCTGCAAGGCGAGCCCCTGAATGCTTTTCCACTTTCCTCTCCCACCACTCCCTCCCCACCAGCCACGCTGGCCACTGGCCACCTTGGCATGACTCTGGGCATTCCAAAATCAAAGCACACTCCTGCCCCAGGGCCTTTGTACTTGTTCTTCCCTCTGCTTTGATGCTCTTTCTCAGATCCTTACATTCTAACCCCTTGAGCTCACTCGGGTCTCTGCTCAAATGTCACCTCCTCATGCAGGCCTTCCTGGACCCCTTTCTGAAGCCACCTCCAGCTCTGACACTCTCCCTCCCCCCACCATGCTTTGTGCTTCTTTCCAGCACTTATCTGGGTTCTGTCTTTTGGCCCCAGTAGACTGGTAGCACCATCAAAAAAAAAAAAAGAGAGAGAGAGAGAGAAAGAGAAAGCTCTCTTCATTTGCCACTATATCCGCAGCACCTAACACGGTAGAAACTCAAACCCTTCTCAAATGGATGCATGAACAAATGTTGAAAAGGCCTGGAGTCCTGTTGTGCCATTTAGCATTGGGGCAGGGTCCCCTGTACCCTTCTGGTTGTATGCATGTCCTATCCCATGTCAGCCATAAGGCTGAGCCATTCCTGAAGCCCAGACAGCATTCTGGGTTTGTCCCCTGCGTGCCCACAAAGTCTATCACGATGCTAGGCACAAGGGACCCCCATTCCCACGCTGGCACAGCCCCACTCAGCCCATGGCAGAGCTCTTAGGACCCTGGCTGCCAAAACATCTGTCTCACCTCTCAGCTGTGAGCTCCCAAGGGCAGGCCTGTGTTTCCTTCATTTGCTACAGTAGGATCTCTGTCCCCAAGCAAACCTGCATGTATCTCCTGATCCTGGACTGGGTCGGCAGGACCACATTGTTGAAGCTTCACGATTGTCCTCAGGGCGGAAGCATCATCCCACATTACGGATGAGGAAACTGAGCAGTAACGCAGAATTAACCCCAGGCCTTGTGACCCCAAAGACTGTGTTTCCTGTGCCCCACCCCTGCAGGCAGCCCCAGGCCACTGCCTTGCAGGGCCCTGCCTGCCCCACCAGTGCCATCAGGAGCTGGCCCTGGGTTCAAAACCCAGGGTGTGCCACTCTCCAGCTAAGGAACCTTATGCAAGTTATTAAACTCTAGTGCCTGTTTCCTCGCCTATAAAATAGGGTGATGATAACAGCACCCTCCTCGTGAGTGGCTGAAAAGATTAAATATATAAAGCCATATATTAAGCGCTCAGAGCCGTGCCTGGCTCACTAGGGGTAACTAGTGGGAGAACACAAAGGAGTTTTTCACGGGGCTCTAGGTGAAGCCCTGCAAACCAGATTAGCATGTGGGAAGATACTATTGCTTTTCATAGTCCTGACAACCATGCACCATGAGAACGCTTTTCACCCGCACTGAACGGATGCAGACACTATGGCCCAGAAAAGTTAAGTCCATTGCTCCAAACCACACAGCCCAGTGAGGCAGGGCCTGGCCTGCTGTCCCACCAAGTGTGCCCCCTCTTCACTTCCCCCTCCCCTCAGTGGCCACACACATCACCACTCCACCACTGGCAGCCCGGGTCTGATACCTGGGGCCCACCTCCTTCCACATCCTGCTGCTCAGGGACAGAAGAACTCCAGTGCCCCTGAGGCCCACACCTGGTGGGCATTTGTCCGGAAGATGCCCCACCCGTGGCCTTTGACCTTCCTGGAATGACTTCCAGAGGTGGCTAGCCCTGTCCCCTCCCCCAAGGGCAGGCCTCTGGCGTCCCCTCCCTGTCCTCCAACTCTCCTCCTGCTCACAGGAGACCTTATCGACCAGAGGTCAAACCAATCTCCTTCCCCCGGGTCCCCGAGGGGAGCTGCCCTGCCCCAGAAGCCGGCCTCCCATTAATGATTTTCTCCCTGGCCCACTGGACAGAGGCAGCGTGGGTGACCCAGGGTCAGCAGGGGCTATCGGGTGGCACTTCCCCAGGATGTGGGAGGGAACAATCCATCTTGCCCAGCTCTCACCATTGAAGCCCCACTCTGTGGCCAGATCAACTCCCAGGGAGGCGGCGGGGGGTGGCCTCTGGTTTGGAAACAAGGTCCGTTCTCCTGGAAAGGCAGGAGGCACCCCAGGCTTCCCAGGCAAGACCTCTGGAGGGTGTGACACCCCCCACCCCAAAGCCTTTCCTAGCCCCACCTCCCAGGCTGGGTGAGGGCCCCCAAACACTCTACTGCAATGGCTTATTGTCCCAAGTCCAGTGTGACTGGTTCATCCCTGAATCTCAGTTCTGCCCTCAGAAGGCAACCAGCAAACGCATGCCAAAAGGCTGAGGCCAAAAGCGAGGGAAACCTGGAGGCCAACATCAGCCCTCCCACTCACCAGCCAGAGTGCCCCACAGAGGGATGTGTTAAGGCAACTGACTGCTCAGCATTCCTCTGTTCCAGACACGCTGCTAAGAAGACCCCTAGGCCAGTCACGGTGGCTCAGCACTTTGGGAGGCCGAGGTGGGCGGATCGCTTGAGGCCAGGAGTTCAAGACCAGCTTGAGGAGTTCAACACCATCTTAACATACTGAAACCCTGTCTCTACTGAAAATACAAAAATTAGCCAGGTGTGGTGGTGCACGCCTGTGATCCCAGCTACCCAAGAGACTGAGGCCGGAAAATCACTTGAACCCGGGAGGCAGAGGTTGCTGTGAGCAGAGATCACACCACTGCACTCCAGCCTGGGTGACAGAGTGAGAATCTGTCTGAAATAAATAAATAAATAAATAAATAAATAAATAAATAAATAAAATTTTAAAAATAAGAAGAAGAAGAAAATGACCCCTAGACATGGCACCTCAATGACCCGTGGAGGTGAGCACCAGTTAAAGCCCATTTCAAGGTCTGCAGCCAGAGTACATGCATAGTGGGGCTGCCTTGGGAACATCCACTTCTCCTGTGCTACTAGCCGGGTGGCAGATCACTTGGCTCGGTGCCCTGCAAGGAGGACCTATCTTCAAGGTCTTCCCAGTACAGTCAGTGTTGCTGTCGGCCTGGCTAACACCCCTCCAGGCATACAATGATCAGGGGTGTTGAAAAGCTGCGGTTTGAACAAAATCAAATTGTTGAAACTCTTTTTTTCTTTTTTGAGACTGAGTCTCACTCTGTCGCCCAGACTGGAATGCAGTGGCACAATCTCGGCTCACTGCAACCTCCACCTCCCAGGTTCACCTCACCTCCCTGATTCTCGTGCCTCAGCCTCCCCAAGTAGCTGGGATTACAGGTGCCCACCACCACACCGGCTAATTTTTGTATTTTTGGTAGAGATGGGGTTTCACCATATTGGCCAGGCTGGTCTTGAACTCCTGACCTCAGGTGATCTGCCCACCTCGGCCTCCCAAAGTGCTGGGATTACAGGTGTGAGCCACCATACCCAGCCTGCTGCAACTCTCAAAAGGAGAGAAGGGTTGGTGCATAAAGCAAGTCTTCGACGGAGACAAGGTGCCTTTTGTCATTCTACCTTGCCTGCCACGCCATGCACATGGATTATCTTTTGGGCCTAGGGTCCTCTTCAGCCTAAGATTCCAGTTGTCCCCAGCCCCTGCTTCCCCTGCCTCGAGGGCTTCCGTCCTGGTAGAAATCTTCACTCTTCCAATGCAGCAAACGCACAGAGGCAAGGAGGCCCCAAGAGGCTCAAATCCCTCCCCCAAGCCTGCCAAGGTCCCCCGGCCCTGGGGACAATCATGGGGCTCAGTGGCACAGAGCCCACCCACCTTCTGCCTTTGGTTCCATCCTCTCCCAGTGCAGGTCTTAACACAAAACGTGATGCCATGTCCCTGCCCGGGCTCCCTATTACCCGGGACAACAGCCAAGTGTCATCCTTACAATCAAGCCCCGTCTACCTTGCAAGCTTCCCCTCTTAGGCACCTTGGTAAGAACCTTCCACGGGGTGAAAAGAGGTTGAGGTGAGCCCCCAGCCTAGTGCCAGCTTCAGGGATCAACCAAGGCACCATCTCACACCAGGGCATCCAACAGCCTCCATCACTCCCTCTGGCCTGAAGACCTCAGCCTCTCCAGCCCACTCGTGGCTGAAAAGCATGTTTGGGATTTTCCTCTTTCTTCCTGGCCCCCCTTTCCACCTCCCACAAAT